TTGATACTGGGGAAAACTAACTGCCAGAAATTCAAAAAAGTCTACATCCAAGTAATTGTCTTCATTGTACTGTAACTGTAATCGAGACAATTTAGGAAATTGTTGAGGACATGTAAACAGTTCAGCTACACCGGAAGCAGTGATTTTACCACATTCGGTCAGATCGAGGAGAGCGAGATGAGGCCATGTTGTCGTGTGAAATGCTATATCGGAAAGGAATTCATCGGTTATGGCCGAACAGACAATGTGAAGTTCTTCCAGACGATTAGCGTGTTTCAGCATGGGTAGCAGTAAATAATTGGTAACATCAGTTGCCAGCGACTCGTATACCCCTGGACCCCAAATGGTAAACGTTCTCAGTGTCATACTGTTAACTTTTGTCCACTCTTCTAAAAACTTTTCATCCAACCCTCGACACTTTACCAGACTCAGTCCTTTCAAGTTTTGGCACTTGTCGATTAATTGTCGCTTGTCTTGTGCGTCAAACAGCACGGAATAGAACGATATCTCGCCAACAAAGTGACCGTACTTTGTAATCAATCCTTTGCGTATCAAGTCCCACTTGTTTTGACGTTTGATTTCGACTCGAGACCAGAGGATGGCGAGTATGTTGGAATGCCACAGTCGACAGACTTGTGAGGCGGCGATGAGATATTGGGTTCCGCGAACGTCATCGTGAATGAATGAGAATATGGCGACTAAAAGTTCGTTTGGAAGAGTTGAAATGGTTATGGGTATGTTGTAATTGGTAGATGTGTCGGATTTCGGTGTGAGCAGATCTGATGCTATGCTGGTTGTCGAGTTTGGTGGTGTTAGAGTCGGCGTATGGAGTGGTTCTAGATTAAGGAGGTTTTCGGTCGTGAGTGTCATTACCGGTTTCATGATTTTAATGAGAGGGGTTTTTCAATCGTTTTTTGAGGGGTGTGCGTGTGCGTGTGCGTGTGTGTGTGTGAGTGTGTGTGTGTGGAAAATCTAGCTGTTATGACAAGTAAGAGTTGGAATGGGAGAGGATGATTATAGTATGAATGAGTGATTCTTGAGGTATTTATGTATTACGATGAGGCGTTGTTCATTAACTATCAAGTATTAGCCCGTAACATGAATCGAATTATAATAAATATACCTTTCGTTTATTACATTAAATTTTTTTCCCAATGTAGTTGCAGTCTTTTTTCACAGATATCAGATTAAATAGTTCAAGATTAACCCCTGGTCAATTCTTTCGTCATGTACGAATATGCAGTCTCTCTTGATCAACGTTGTACAACTGTGCATTATACGTCATAGCGAAACTGTATTACTAAAAGACGGGCCATAGGTTTCCCGATCTGAACCATGCAATGTGTCGATCGTTTGACGAAATTACAATAACCAAAATAGATTCATCAATCATCCCCCTTGGAAATTTGGCAAAAACGCGACAGTAAACGGAGTGAGCGATATACCAATCGTCATTGTGGCGATCGTTTTTTTATCGAAATTTGTGGTGGGCAATTACAGGTTTTGTGGATGATGTAATCATCCCCCCTTCATTATTCTTTCCATTTATGAACTAGACGATAATATATTTACAAATTTAAAATTCTCTTTACACTGATCGCTACTGATAAACTATTAAATAATAACAACGCAACATGATTTGCTATTCGATCTAAAAGACTTTTTGCTCAAAATGTTGTCTTCCATTATTATTATTGACATCGAAGCTTACTTTTAAGACAAAGTGCACGTTCATGTGCAAGATTACTATCTTCACGATCATTCGTGCTGATGGTGGACGTGCAGGTGTTAATATTAACTCTCCCGTTTTTTACTGACTAATCAATTGACGTCATATCATAACAAGACATATGGGCAATGCCTCATATACAGTATTGCCTTTTATATACAATAAGTGAAATGCTATTCCCCATGTGAAATATCGAGAAATCAACACAAGCATACATACGAATAATATTTTTTTTAGAAATTCGGCACAAAATTTATTAGTAATTTACAATAATTTCTCGAGGTATGTATATATAAGTGAAATCTATAGTATAATTATTTTTTTTATATTTATCTGTACAATCGACTACTGCTCTTCATTTTCTTCTTCACCACCTGAAACACTTCAATCTCATCGACAGCAAACACACCAGCCTCGCTCCTTATCGTTCCATCATACGCAGACGGACTACACATCCACATTCTACCCAATTCCTTGTCACTTTCCTTTTTACTTTTATTCCACATCCTACTCAACGATTTCCCCTCATGCTTGTGCCCGTCACCGATTTCCATTTCTCGCTCTTCCTCTGACGCGTTCGCGACAATGTCGCCATCTCCAACTTCAACCCATTCCTCATCGTTCTCATCAATACCCATGGCAAGATCATATCCATCTCCAAAGACAACACCGCGATTTCGTCCTACCCAGACCGCTCGTTGTCTCTCCGATTTCTTGACCCATCGGACTTGTGCTTTTTTCGCATCCCCCTTATCAAACGAGAATATAAACGAGTCGTTCGATTCTTTGAACGATCCCTTTTTGGACGATTGCCACGAGACATCCGTATATCCGCCAACTATATCTGAAGAATCGCGTATCCGTGCAATTGTTACCGTCGGTCCTCGTCGGTCGCACAGGCGGTGAAACGCTGAAACGGAAAAAGAGTGTATAGATGCGCGGTACAACAGTCGGAAGCGGTAGAGTGTATTTGGGGTTGGCTTATTCGTTGTCGAGTTGTTGGTTTGAGTGTGTTGAAAAATGCAAGATGCAAGATAGTTTGCGTGTGTGGGTGTCATCAACAGCGAGTCGAGGTGGTTTTTCTTGGATGGTGATTCAAGGGGTGATGTCTGTGGCGATGACGGAGGTGAAGAGGAGGAAGGGTAGGAGGATAAAGAAGGGGTCGAATACGATGAAGAGCGGGAATGAGAGGGAGACGAAGACGAAGAGGAAGAGGGAGAGGGAGAGGGAGAGGGAGAGGAAGGTGAAGGGGAAGCGGGGGAAGGAGAGGGTGAAGCAGATGCTTTTACTGCTGTTGGTGGTGAAGATGGTAGCGGCGGTGTGACTTCTTTGTTTGTACTGTCGTCGTACTCGCCGTCAATTGAGTGATGCCAGGTAACGTTCCTCTTCTTTGATTGCTGCCTTTGCGGCAATATGGGTGATAAAGGAGTGTATGAATTTTGAGTGTGATAATTATATACATCGATGAATAAATCGTACGGAAGTACGTATTGGAATAATTGACTTCTGATCAAGAATTGATTAGATGGCATTTGGAAAAATCTTAGATGGGGTATAATGTTTTTCAAAGTGTCCTTTAGTAGTTCGTATTCCTTTGCAGACCAAGACGATACCATCAATAGCACTGGCTCCTGAGCCGTAGCCCACCTCAACACATATTCCCATATCTCCGTTTCGTCCATGGTCAATTTATCACTTTTTAGTATCTTGATCAACATGTCCTCGGACAAATAGACGAATCCTTCTGATTTCATTATGGTTGTCGGATGACGCTTGACCGTGTTTTGACAGTATCTGCGGAGGATGGAAAAGTTTTTATTCGTCGTGGAGAGGACATCGATTTGTGAAAAGTGAGAGAGAAGATACGAAGAATGGTGGTCGACGAGGATCGTTTGTATAGATGCGATAAGTAAGATAAGAGAGAATCTGGTGCATGCGGCCAAAAGAGTCAAAAGATCATCTGGGGAAAGGTCAGTTGAGGGAGTTGAGTCTGTGTAGATATAACTGAAAAACAAGTGGGTGAAAAAGACAAAGATTAGAGATATTGAATCGAATGAACAATTATGCAAATGTATACACCTATTTATCAATTTCATCTTACTTTAGAATGTGTTCAAAAATGTTTGGTCTGATATCATCAATTCTGATAAAAGTTTCTCCCATTCTCGACCCGGCATTCGCATACTTTGATCCATGTTCAAGCGCCTTTGTTCTAAAGTATGGACAGCGCGTGTAAAGTACAGCCGCATGCGCATAGAACACTTTCTTGTCCGTCCCGCTTCCTACTTCGATCTTAATGTCTGCGAGGGATGTGTCTGATAATAAATGGGACAAGTCGATGGCAAGTGATGCGACTACCTGAGCCGGCATTTTAGCAGTGTTCCTTGTTAGTTGCTAAATCGGATGCATGATCCAGAGGGTTTATTTATACAAGTAGATGATGAGAGAGCAAATAGGACAATAAGCACTGACCACATTATTATAACACAGCACAACGGCCGTAAAAAATGTGATGATAATATTGTAAAATAAATATTATGCACGTAAAGTTGTACAAAAAACCGAACGGCCATAATATATATTACAGTAGTATTGTGACTATCAACATGGAAAATATCCAACTTGAGTATGCCCATATATGCACTCTGTGTTACACCGAGTTGCGGTTCTCTGAATTTGAAGAACAGCCATCGGTTTAAGTAATAATTGGTGTATCTTCTATTGTGTTTGTTGAATATGTTTCTTGTGAGTCGTTCGTGTTTACTTTCGTTGTCAGCGATAATCTTAACCTTTTATGCTGTTGTGCTTTTACGCTTACTGTCATGGCAAAAAGTTATATTATTGTTAACTTGGTATTTTTCGTCACCATTGTTATCGTCATTATTGTTCTTTTTAAGTTTCTTCTGATTATGTGAATTTATCTTGCCGTCTGATTTGCTAGACACATGTTTTAGGGAAAGAGCAACGTTCAAATCAAAAGTTTTTGTTTACATTGAAAGTATGGTATTATCATTTATCTATCCCGAGTATCTTTTCCAGAAAACCTATAGCACCAAGGGGGATGATAAGAAGTCGGTCCTACAAACTCAATAAAGACGGCAAATTAGCCAATGTATATAATCAATTTGCTTAATAAAGATCTCAATGTGTTATCCAGTGTATTTCGCTTTCTGCTTTACGTTGTCTTTTTTTACGGCAACCAACTGTTTCTGTCTCACTTTCTCCTTATGTTCATGCTCGACCACGTTACATCCTCCCAGCACAATTTCGTCATATCATACATGTGCTATAACGAATTCAAATTGTTCTTTGTGGCGCTGCTACATAGCTAGCCAATAGAAAGGATCAGATTAAACAAAGGACATTTGTTAGATTATAACGTTCATTTAGTAGTATGCTGACCGGTAAACAGTCGAGATTATACTTCATTTGAACATGCTTCTAGATCCAACTATGACAGTATGTTCCGGCTTGGTGTGTTGTGAGGTGCAGTGCTATTATTAAGTAATCCAGAATGTTCCGACGGTATGTTGATTGCTCTAAACCAAATATGAAAATAAAGGTAAACCTCACAATGAATCACTGTTTTGAAATAGACCACATGGCCCAGCGTAATAGAAAGATGGCCGTTTTACGTAATAAATACGGTATAAATACGGTAGTATTCGTCGACATAACCTAGAAAAGCCAGATGCACCGGATTTAAGATAAACTTGGTTAGAAAAGGGAATCGAGCATCGATTATTATTATTATGTATCTCACTGTACAAAATATTCGGCAAGTTGTCTACCACACATGATAAAATCCTTTAGTTAAATTAAAAATAAGACGACAAGCATAAATATAATTGGTTTAGAAGAATCACAATAAGACCGAAAGTTAAGAGGTAATTTATGTTTTAACTCTGCCATGCAAATTGGTCTTGATGACGTGTGCGTAAATTATGCAAACTAGAACATGATTTAAAAATGCCACATGTAAAGTTATGGCTGCGCGTGTCACGAATCTGCTGTCATCGTCACCAATGTTTCTGTCATGCTACATTTAATGCAGTAGAACTTGTTATAATTTTCTCGATAATAATAACAGTCTGGTCATATTAGCGACGGTGGTATATTGTTGACCTAAAAAAACAACATTTACTCTATCATTTGCTCTATTAGGAACCTATGTTACTCACCATAAATAACGATGTCGCGATATAATTTTACTAGTAAGCACAAAACAACATTTATAAATTGGCTGTCGTTACAATCAACGCAAATGATTCTTTTATTGTTATTGAAAAACACAGACGTATTTATTAAAAAAATTATTCTCCGATCAAATACAAATGCATTGTCACTTTATTACATAAAGAAATAAACTCCTGTAGACGTCTACTAAAAATTGTTACATTAATAATTTACTCGTGCGAAGAAAACTTAAACATATTCGTAGACTGTTACTACTTATAAGTTGCCCATGTGACAAAGCCATCAAACATGTCGAGTCCACGGTCACAGTCCGCATCGTATTAATCTCAGGTTTATAGCAGTTCAAAGAATATAAGGTGATGGCTAAGCCTGTATTGGATTGGTGATAAGCGTAACATGTTTTACCGTTTGCTCCCATCGTTCAACTGTATCGCGTGCTGTATATGTAGTAACTAACGTGTCCTCACTCGCCACTCGTTGAAAACAAAAAAAAAAAAAAAATGAAAAAAATCGAAAAACAAAAAAAAACACAAAGTGAAAACTGCAAATATAAAACCATTTATACCAACATAACATGATTTTTTTAATAACAAATCTACTTACGTTTACAATTTACATTAACAATCAATACGAGATTTAATGCATTCCGATAAGCATAAAAACCATTGTGTGCTTTCCAGCTATGTCGAATTTCAATGAAGTTTGAATAACGTTCATGACGAAGAATATTATTCAATGGTTAATATTTTAATTTATTTTTAGAAAACTTTCGAAGTACTACATTGGAAAATCATAATACATAGCATATCAATAACCTGAAGAGTAAGATGAACAACTACAACTCAATACTCAAATGGATAATCTTTTAAACTGATACTAATAATAACATACAATTAGTTTGTCTTTTCCAAAATAATCAACAAATAAATCATTTCATACAGAATTGTCCTCTTTACTATCACTCCTCTCTTTTCTTTAATATAAACAAAGCCATTTGAAAAAATGAACTGCTTTAAAAATCTAATTTCGAAACCTAATACTAAGAGTTAAAGAGAAATTAATTTAGAGCCTTAAATTTAGAGCCTTTACCAAAGCTGTTTTTCCTGTAGTTCCAAGTTGATATTATAATTATCGAGATTCAATAAAGTCAGGAAAGAATTTGATTCTAGAGCCTTTGCCAAAGCTGTTGCTCCTGTATCTCCAATTTGATTACCATAAAGATTCAATGAAATCAGAGTGGCATTCAATTCTAAAGCTTTTGCCAAAGCTGTTGCTCCTGTAGCTCCAATTTGATTATCATAGAGATCCAATAAAGTCAGAGAGGAATTTGATTCTAGAGTCTTTGCCAAAGCTGTTGCTCCTGTATCTCCAATTTGATTATTACTGAGAACTAAAGAAGTCAGAGAGGAATTTGATTCTAGAGCCTTTGCCAATGCTGTTGCTTCTGTATCTCCAATTTGATTCCAACTGAGACCCAAAGAAGTTAGAGAGGTATTTAATTCTAGAGCCTTTGCCAAAGCTGTTGCTCCTGTAGCTCCAATTTGATTATCATAGAGATCCAATAAAGTCAGAGAGGAATTTGATTC